CACACACAGCTGTCACTGGTCTCTGACCCTACAGTCAAAGCTTGTCTGACTCCTCCCACTTCCTCAGGTGACCGAGTGTCAGGCTCTCTCGCTGTCCTGGGATTGGCCGCTCACTCCCCCGCCCCTTTCCCTGTCGTCAGGTAAAGACTCCGCCTCCTTCTTTGAAGGTCACCTGCTAAAAGTTCTCTTTGACCGTCTGGGACGCCTCCTGGAGCAGGTACACAGACACACACCTGTGCCCTGCGTGGTTCCCCCGGCTCACCTGTGCAGGTGATGACGATGATGTCGTGTGTTTGCAGCCGTACGAGTTGAACCTGCAGCTGACGGCTGTTCTCTCCAGGCTGTCGGCGTTCAGCCACCCTCTGCTGCACGAGTACCTGCTCAACCCCTACATACACCTGTCTCAGTCCTCCAGGTCACTCTTCTCTGTCCTCATCAGGGTGAGACACGTTCTCCAGAGGAGGCGGGGCCAGGCATTTGTTTTTAAGTTAGGGCATGTCTGTTTGATCACCTGTGTGTGTGCCAGGTGATGGGAGAGCTGATGCAGAGGATCCAGCAGGTCTCTAACCTGAGCGAGCGACTGCTGAACACCAGGAGAGCGCTGCTGGGCCTGCCGCATGACCCCGGGTAACTACCTGCAGTAACGCCTCACTCCAGCCACGCCGGCGCCGTAAACACATTTACCAGGGCCGCAGCGACTCATCGAGTGACTCGATTATAAAATGTGTCTGCTCAAATTCTTCTTTGATGCTTGTTTAATGTGTTAATGACGGAAACGCGGTTCGAGTGAAAGCTGCTGCAGTAGAAACGAGGCGGAGCCGTTAGGGAGATGTGACAGGAAACAGCAGCTGTCCACCATTAGAACCTTTACTGGGAAAGAGCTGCAGGAGTTAGAGCCTCAACAAACCGTGATGTGAAGTAGGCTCCACCCACCGCCACTTGTGTCACACACACTCAGCTCTCCAGATAATCTGAGGCATGTTTTAACCACAGTTCGCTCCAGGCTGACGTCACGTTTTACATGGAAGTGAACAGGCGTGAGTCTAAAGGGGGGCGTGAGGAGCCCCAGATTTATTACAAGGCTTTGAAATGATATAAAAACTGTTTTAAGTACTTAAAGATAAGAAGTTTTCTCTCTTTTGAGTGTTTAGTATCGCTCATTACTCGATTACTCGGTAATCAGCAGCTGCAGCCCTGTGCAGTCTGCTCCAGACTCCACCTGTACTGAACTCCTGTGTTCACCTGAGTTCTCCTGTGGGTGTGTCCACAGACTGGATCACCTGACCCTGCTCAAAGGAGTCATCGTCCTCGAGGAGTTCTGCAAGGAGCTTGCTGCCATCGCCTTCGTCAAGCTGCCCCAGGACCAGGACTGAGC